CTGCTGCTGCTGCTGCTGTTACCATTACTACCACTAGTACTACTATTTCCATTGCTACTACTCCTCCGTTCTTGGCTCCGGGGATTTTTTTGTGGCTTGAACAGGGGTCGCCACCATGGCTCGTTCCCACTGCCAGATACGCTTCTGGCAGAAAGAAGCCGCTGTCCAGGAAGTTCGCGAAGTCCCAGGGCGTTAACTGTGCCTTCGGCGTTAACCGTGCATTCCACAAGGCTGGCATCTGCTACTCTGCGAAGGGTGCCTTCGCATCACGCTCCGCACGCAACCTGCGAGACCTCAAGCAGTTGACTTTTCCGGACTTGTGCGGTTGGTCGGAGAAGCGGTGCCAGGCTGCTGCAATTTCTGTGAGTTGTCTCACGGTCTAGGGTTGGAGTTTCCCTTTACGTTTTAAGGGTTTCGCCTTTCGGCTTCAGGCTCTAGGTTTTGCGGATGATTCTCATTATGTTCTTCTGGTGTTCTGGTTGCTTCGAATTTGTGCAGGCATGGTTGGCAGCTCGTGACGTATTCGGTTCTGTCAAGAACCGCAAGTGCTGGCAGTGCTCGGCACCCCTGCAGCAGGACAAGAACGTCCAGTACCTGCGGTGCCCTTCGAAGTCTTCGAAGTCTTGTCCGGCTCACCATCCACGCGCTTTGGCATCCTCTGTCTTTTTCCACCTTTTCACTTTAGGCTTTCGGAAGCCAAGCATGCTCAGGAGTTCATTGGAAACTGGCATACACACCATGCTGGTCCTTTGTCTCCGCCGGTCAGAAGCTGGACTGCAAGGGAGCCTTGCTTGCCATGTACACAATCTCCATGCGTGTGCCACAAGATGCCGCTCCTTTGCTCGTGGGTCGGCATCACAACTTCATCGACATCCTGTGCCTCGGTGTGAATGTCTTTCTGATCGATTTGGGCTTGTGCACTGGGGCGACAGGAGCCCAATAACGCAACATTTCGTGCCATGAAACCCTTGAAAACTGGGCTCCTGAACAGGGAACCCGCTTTTGGATTATTTCGCGAGCAGAGCTCTTTGAAAACAGGGCTCCCTTCAGTCCTGTTGTTGGCAGGCTGCGTCGTCAACGCGGAAGGCAGATGCAGCCGCGAAGCGAGCCGACGACAGATGCTAGCAAATTTGCCAAGGAGCTCACGTGGAGACCATGCGAAGAGAGATGCCTGCCGTGTGGTAGCGCAGCATTTCGCGAGCAAAGTCCGGCCGTTTGCTCGCTTGGCCAAGGCGGGTATTGCAGACAAAAGCGGTTTCCATCGTTTCTGGCTTGCATGTCATATCGAGCTCCCTGACTTCAGGATGTGCTGGCTGGTATACAACAAGGCTCAGAGCGGCCAGTGAGACTCACCGAGGAGTCGCTGACCGTGCTGCAGGCGGGCATGGAAAGCGCAGTCTCACGCCATTTCAATGATGGTGCCCGGTGCATGCTCCATGCGAACAGAACAACAATGTTTCCTTCTGATTTGCGATTGGCTGCATCCGTGAGATCAGATTATGGGGCTGGCGGCCAACAGGCCGAGCAACACCTGCAGAAGCGCGTCGGCTCGGATATCGAGTCACGTGAAATAGAGCGGTCAAGAGCGCAACTTGGTGCCGGAAGTGAGGCAACAGTCCATTGCGACCTTGTCGTGGTAGGTGGGATGCAGGTCTGTCGTGGTTGCACAAAACACGTGTCGAGGCTTAAAGAGCCCTTATCAACCATGGTAAGTACACCCTCTCTGTAGAAGCCGCAGTACGTGCTGTATCCTCTGCCGGATCGCGTGACCAAGTGTGGTGCACCAGGCTGGGTCTTTTCTTGCCTGTTACGACTCAGAGCGTCCTTTAGGCCTTCCGGTTGAAGGTTCAGCTCCTTCCCTTTCGCGATCTGCCTCCCGGAAAGCCCAACCCTTAAGCATGCTGGTCTTGTTGAAGCTGCCACGGCTCCGTGCTCTTCTCTTTACATGCGAATTCGTTTAGCATTTTCCCGTAGCAGCTGCTGCCATATCACTCGTGGTCTCGGACGATTTCGTTCTGGCTCTGGGTGCTGCCATGCTCACGGGAGTTGACGTATCCACATCTCGGAGACCGGAATAAATGGCAGGAGCTGTGTCTCACACGCATGCTTCGCATCACCATGTCTTGCATTGCGAAGGTTTGTCGGTCCGGAGAAGACAAGGAAGGAGCTGCGCACGCTCAGCTTGGCGGCCTCCGTGCTGGCTTGTGTCCAGGCAACTGACCTCCAAGACCGTCTCATAGGTCTCGGCAACTGCTGCTTGCCTTCCGTGGTGCAAATGCCGCATCACACCAGCTTTCGGCACCAGGTGCGCTTCTGGGCGGTTCATGCCTGGCGAATGGAGCTAGAGATGTTGTCTCGAGAGATTTCTGCTGTTCTCAGTGACGTCGCTCGCGACCATGTTTTTTTCAGCACACAGACGGGCTTCGCCGGCTCTTCTTGCTTTGGACTTCCTTGCTGTCAGCCCAATGTGTCTGCTGACTCCTTCTGAAGCTGGGCATGCTGCAGACAAGCCTGCACTTTCTCGCTTCCTCAAGCCTCGGAAAACCCCAGACTATCCTTCAAAAGTACCTTCCACTCAAACAGTGTATGTACTCTTCAAGTGTAACATTATCGTTTACTGTTCCTCGGTGAGATAACACTGTTTGCCCCGTAAACCCTAAACCCTGAATCCTAAGCCCTTAAACCTAAACCCCGAACCCTAAACCCCCTTCTCCCAGCACCCAAGGTGCTTCGGAGCTGGAAACAAGAAGCAATGCGCCATCAATTGCTTGATGCTGGATTGACGTCACGGTTGAGAGTTCAGCTTCCAGGGTGTAGGGTGTGCAAGTCTTGGGTCGTACCGGGTTTAACACCCCCAGCATGATAACCTCTGACTTCCTTGCTGAAGGCGCATGCCAAAACCCCTAAACCCGAAATTCGAAATGTTTAGGGTGTAGAGTTTAAGGTAGGATTTCGGCCCACCGTTCGCTTCTAAAGTCACCATCCGGGGTTGCTCCTTCCGCGGTTCCGACGGACCCCGCAAGTCTTAAGGCTTTGGCCTTCTTAAGGTACCTTTTGCAAGCGGTTACTACACGACTAGGGGAGAAGACCGGCGCACCCAGAGTTTCCCCAAGCACGTTTATGTCAGGAATGTACCCTAAACCCTACAGGGACCCTAATCCTTACATTTTTTCCGCTTGGAGCGCACAGATTTTGCACGGGTACCCCGTTTGTAGCGTCCCCCTGTCAACATGCCTAGCACCGCAGCGAGCCATGCCATAACCACTAGGGTTTAGGGTTTAAAGTTTAGGATTTAGGGAAACCTTAGCCCCTAAACACCTAAACCTTAAATCCCTAAGCCCTAAATTCCTGGGGTCAAACAGGAGCTTAAACCAAAAAACTTACAAGCCTAAGCCCTAGATTCCTGGAGTCAAACAGGAGCTTAAACCAAAAAACTTAAAACCCTAAGCCCTAAATTCCTGGGGTCAAACAGCCGAGGATCAATGAGCGTGGCATGGGCCGTGGTTGCGCCTACTGCTTCGGAGACAAGGATTCTGGGCTGCAGTTCCCAAAGATTTGGAAGAGACTCCTCAGCCCCTTCATTCAGGGTTTGCAGGGTTTTTTCGGAATTTTTCAGGGTTTATTATAGGGTTTACAGGGTTTGCGGCGTTTAGGGTGTTTAGCTTTTGGATTGCAGGGTTTGTAGGGCTTATAGGGCTACTGCTGGTGACTGCTAGTGCTGCTACTGCTACTGCTGCTACTGACTGCTACTGCTGCTGCTACTGCTAATGTCACTGCTACTGCTACTGCCGCCACTGCTTACATGTTTTCGCTCGTTTCTGCCACTTAGTTTTACCTGCTACAAATGTCGTCGTCGATGCTACAAAACACCGAGCTGACAAGCAGTCCAGCATGTAAGGTTGTGTGTCTGCAAGTATACTTTGGGAGCCCGAAACCCCAAGAGGGTTCAGGAGTTAAGGGTTTCGGGTTAAGGGTTTAAGAGTATAAGGGTTCGAAGCTTCGATCTTTCACTTTCGGGCCATACCCTGTTAGCAAAGATCAATAGATTATCCGCCTGTCAAGGCCCTTAACTTAAGAAGGGGGTGCGTAGTAATCAGGGATTTAGTTTGGAAGTCTTGAGAGGAGCACGAATACAACCCGAACACCCAAACCCTAAACCCCAACTCCCGCAGAAAGAGCCCCCCCCTTCAGATCCCTTATGTATCCGTCAGGGAAACTTGAAACCCGAAATGCCCTAGAATCCGTTTGGAACCCTCAAATGGTTTAGGGTTTAGGGAATGATAAACCCCCTACAGCCATTGAGCCCCCTAAACCCTAAACCCTAAACCCTGAACCCTAAACCCTGTCGAAGGTTGCATGCACCATCAAGAAGTGCCTGAGCGAGTGCATGGGCCAGGGCCCGTCCTGCAACGGCTGCGTGCAGAGCAAGATACTGGCCTGCAGCGAGTCATCTCATAGGGTTTTGCTTTATACGGGTTTTGGGAGCCCAATATACTATAGTTGTAGTAAGGAGCCCCCCAAAATAGTAT